GTGTTACCACATGCTAGCTACTCATAATTCCGATAGTTGCAAAATACATTTTTTTTTTTTTACGCTTTTATTATCAAATATTAACATTCAATACAGCATATTGTATAAAACATATATTAACCTAACAACGGTTTTATTTGGTATAAATAATTTATAAAATTAAATCAATTTTTAACATCATCCATCTAATAATAGGAATAAAGTTATAAAGTTAAGAGTGAATTAAAAATACCAGACTCAGTTTTCATAAAAATTATAGATTAAATAAAAACATACTATAAAAGTTAATTAAAGAATTAAGTCCTTAATTATAACCTCAAACACAGTTATCTGATTAAGACGTATTTAAACTATTATAGCTATAAAAAAACAGTTTAAATAAGTAGTTAATAATTTATATTAATATTAAACTAAACTTCCCACTTATTAATTGTCGCATTTTTAAAAATCATTTAATGAGTTCATTTGATCGTTAGTAACTCGACCTTTATTGTCCAACATTTTTAGATTCTGAGTCGAGCGAAGAAGCCTATGGTTTTACATAGATGTTTTTTTCTTTTCTGTGGACAACTTTTCTGAAATCTAGCTGGGAAAGTACTTTCAAGAGGTTATTTTTCAATTTTCTTAAAAGTTTTCTCTAGAAAACAGAGGACAATATAGAGGACAATATAGTAGCAGAATTTATAAAGAATGGAGGAGAAGAACTGACTCAAAGAATGTGGAAAATTATCACTAAAGTATGGGAAACAAAAGAAATACCTGAAGACTGGAAAACGGCGATGATATGTCCCATACATATGAAGGGAGATAAAAAGGACTGCAACAATTACCGGAAAATAGCACTCTTAAATATAGCGTACACAATATTTACTAGCTGCATTCTATCAAGGATAAAAGAGACAGCTGAAAATGTAATTAGAGAATATCAAGGTGGTTTTAGGCCAGGTAGATTGACAACTGACCAAATATTCATTGTCAGGCAATTTTTCAAAAAATATGGGAGTTCAATAAAGAAAGGCATGCACTTTTCGTTAATTTCCAAAAGGCCTACACCGAGAAAATCTAATTAGTACTTTTGTAGAGTTCCATTTCCCACACAAACTGATAAATTTGATCAAGTCAAGTATTATAGAAATGTATGTTAAGGTTAGAATAGAAAATATAAAATCGGAACAAGTACAAGTACGAACAGGACTAAGGCAAGGAGACTATTTGTCGTCTATATTATTTAATATTGCATTGGAAAAAGTTATAAGGGAAATTAATATGGGACAGCATGAATGAGTAAACTTACAGATTCATACTATAGGACTATTAGCATACGCAGATTTTTTTCTTACGGACAACTTTTCTACCAGCAGTTTTGCTTCAATTCTTAACGATAGCAATTATTATTATTGTATGTTTAATATTTTAAAACGTTAACAACGTTATCATGATTATATTTTACATTTTTACATATCTAATCTTAAAAGTACTTCAACTGTGCTATCGATGGAATTCTTGGACACTATATTAACAAGCTGCTTTTTTCTTCTATATATGCATAAGCCCTGGTAATATTTACGATTTTAGTCAAATTCTGATATTAAAATTCTTAAAAAAGAAAAACTTCATTACGCACAACTTTTTTTTTTACCATTAATGCCGGGTTGCATAAAAGATCGTGAGCAATTTAAAGGATAAAAAGATTGAGTTGCATAAACGTTCTGTAAATTTTAACGGGCCATTAAATTTCAATCTTAACGGTCCATTTCATAATCATTTAATTTCGACTTTGTAAATATTAAAGACTCGTTAAAATTATTTTAATAATTATTATTATTGACATACTACCAGCACTAGCATTAAAATCTCTTCAAAATTTAGAATTTTATCTTCCGTCCACTATTTGAAATTAGCGGACGCAGTACAAGCACCAAAATTCACATTAGTATCTATACATAGTGTAGTGCATTTTAATATTTATTATCAAAAAAGTTATTCTAGGATAATAGGGACGGGTACAGCCACTGTTAGATGTAATTTAATATACATCTGTAAGCAAAGAATAACCATTGCTAATAAAAAAATGATTCTGAGCGAAGATATATATGTCATATTATGGAAAAATTATTACATATGCATTATTATATTACACTGTAAAGGCTGTCCCATGAAGATATACTCCATGAATATCTCCAGTTATAATAAAGATAACCAAATTCTGTTTCTTTTTTTTTGTATTACTCATAAGGAAGAGGTCAACAAATGTTTATATTTGAATTTTTTTTATTAAAAAAATAACTTTTTATTTTATTATTTTTCTGAAAATCAAATCTAGGGAATAACTTACAATTGTTACGCGATAACATAAGTTTTCACATGGATTAGTAAAATTTAAAATGGCTGTAACTAAGAAACTATTAATTGGATATAAATATACAATACATTAGAATTTTCAGAAAAATAATCTCTATAGAATGGTTGTTTTAAAATATTCGAAAATAATTTAAAGCTATTATTTAAATTTTTTTAATAAAAAAAAAAAATTCAAATATAAATATTTGTAGACCTCTTCCCTGTGAGTAATATAAAACGAAATAGAATTTGGTTATCTTTATTACCTTCGGAGATAAACAAGGGGTATATCTTTGTGAGCCTATATTTTCTTTAATATTGTACCTATTTTCCCGTTTTTCCCATTTATTGGGAAAACTTCTAGGGAAATCAAAAACTGATCTCTTTAAAGTACTTCACCAGTCAAATTTCCTTAAAGAAAAAGTGATACCATGGTAAATCGGATCAAAATTTCCGGTAGAACAGTTGTTAAAAAAAGGCCGAAATATTTTTAGATTCTTAGTGTAGTGAAGAATGTATTGGTTTTACTAAGATGTTTATTTTTTTATTTTAATACTATGTACGAAAATTGGACCAGAAATCTTGCTAAGATATATACACGTAGTACCATTTTTGAAAAGGAATGTTGTTCAGATGACACTTTTAGGAGGTCAGTTTTTGATTTTCAAAGCGGTTTTTATAATATCTGGGAAAAACCAGGATAAAACCGAGAAATAAAAATGGGAAATTTACGAAAATAATGGTTATTTATTACTTTTAAATTTTGTTATTTGTTGTAATTCAGTTAAAAATATTCGTGGAAACATGCATTTTTGAAAGAAAATCTATATTTGTCTTTTCAAGACGTGGTAAAATTTTAAGGCATATAATTTGAGGCTTTTTTGAGCTATTTATAGACATTTTAATTTTGCGAGTTTTGTAAATAATTTTTATTCGGTAGGAGCACTGTGGTAAAATTGTTAGACTTAACAGAAATGCTTGCAAATTTAACAGGAGGTTCATTAAATCTTATGGTAAAAAAAAAAATTTAGTTTAACGTAGTATTTTTTTTATAAGGAAATTTTAATATCAAATTTTGACGAAAAAATTATGTGGAACAAATCTAATTTTTAATTTTTTTTTTTTATATATAGGTATATTGCCGATTTAAGAACGATGATGAAGTCAGAATTAAGCGGCCTAACTAAATTTCGAAATTATAGCTTTTTGAAGTTCTAATATTATGCGGATATTATATGTTATGTTACAAAACTCTATATTGTCTATTTCAAAGCAAATTTTTCGTGATCTAATGGTTATTTAAGCTTATTTTCATCCTAGGAGTTCAAGAGTTCAAACCAGTGTGACAAAAAATAATTGTTTGCATTTTTTTTCCATTTACCTAAACAAGAAAAAAACAAATGCATTTTAAATGTACCTGGAGACTCAAGCCATCGCTCCCTCGGACTATTTTATTCGCAAAATACCCCTCGATTTGTTGTGCAAACTTTTCTACCAGAAATTTTGCTCTGATGTATCAAATGTAACTTATTTTTTGAAAAAAAATTTTTTCTCCGTGGTAATTTAGAGAAGACGGTTTTTGATTTTTCCAGCAGTTTATCAAAACATGGGATAAAATATCTAGGAAAAGATGGGATAAAATGTCGGAAAAACGAAAAATGTACCAAATATAGGTACTGGTAATTATACATTATAGCCTTTTTTTCAGTGTACAAGTTTTCTACCAGCAATTTCGCTCCAATTTAAAATGATAGCACTTTTTCTGAAAGGAAATCTGACTGGGAAGGTACGTTAAGGAGGTAGTTTTTTGATTTTCTCAGGAGTTTTCCTAGTAAATGGGAAAAATCGGGAAAAAAACATGGGAAAATCGGTACAATATTTAACAATTATTATTATAGAAAATATATAGTGCCTATTTAGTTATTTTACCATAATAGGACATATATATTGATGACAAAGCATCAATATCAACTGAACTACGCTTAGAATCGTTTTTTCGTTAGCAATAGTTTATCGTTGCTTACAGACATACATTAAATTATAATTTATTAGTAATAAATTATAAAAATGTCAGTTGAATTCTCAAAAAAAGTTAAAAGAATAAAATAAAGATTAGATAAAAAGATACTTAATTAAATAAAATTATTTGTGAAAAGTCACACTTAATAATAAAACTATTCTAAGGATATTACATTTTTTATTAAACTACCTATGACATATAATAAGACTTGAACACAATTGTTCTGCGTCACACAATTTGAAAGTTGGCATTTCTACTATTTGGTTACTTTACTACATACATCAACCCACGTAATTCTGAAAATAATAGGCAATAGACATGTCACATATGACATTTGCATGAGTACAATGTATTATTAAATTGTCTAGGATATAAATACTATTTATCTAAAGGATAAATAAAATGTTACCCAAATTTTAAATTTAATTGGATAGGTGTACCTGTAATTATAATATTTACCATTTCCGGCAAAAATATCCTAGGATAAATTTACCTCTAACGAATTTTTTAGAAGGTAAACATATCCTTGGCAAAATTTAACTCCTGGTGAATATTTCTGGACGAGGGTAAATATATCATTAGTATGAAAACGCCAGTTCTAACTCAAGAGCTTGTGCAAGATCTTGTGCGAGAGCTATACCTATAACATGGACGCCCAACCACGATCTTGTACGGATTCATGCTTAAATCTTGCACAAATCTTGCACAATCTTGCACAATCTTGCACAATCTTGCACAGGTGTGGGTGCGTGGAGCCACCATCGTCCACCTCTTCATTGACCTATTTTAACCACGCCCCGTTTTCCAAATATTTTTTTTCCGTACTATCAACTACTTACTTGACCTATTTTTACTTTTATCACATGCTATACTTACTGTTATACTTATTTCGTTATCATTTACCTACTGTTATCATTATGATATACATTTGGCCAAACTAGCTTATAACGCTCTCCTGGCCCGGTTACATGCAATCAAACCGAACTCAACTGAATCGAAAGATTCGACCCAAAAACGGCCCTTCTCAGGGCCATCGGACAAGAAAGCTAGGGCCTACCCTACGCATTTGCCAAATCAATATTGAAGGTATTAGCAGATCAAAAAGTGACTACATCTCCCGTATCCTCAGGGAACAAGACGTCGACATAGTGGCAATCCAAGAAACCCACACTCAAGATGAAACCCAACTCAATACCAGAGGCAAGATATACACGGATACACTATAATCGGTGCCACATACCACCGCTCACACGGGATAGCAACTTACGTCCGAAATAACCTAGAAGAGGTCAAGCTTGAAAGCGTATCAACCCTACACGACATCCATATCGTCAAAGTCAATGTCGGACAGACCACAATTATTAACGTGTATAAACCACCAACTATTATATGGCCAGACTGCGTCCTAGGAAACATCTCCCATCCAACAATAGTCATTGGTGACTTTAACAGCCACCACGTGACTTGGAAGTATTCCAGCAACAACATAAACGGAGAGATGCTCGCATCATGAGCTGAAACTAACAATGCCCATTTAGTTTTTGATGCTAAATCAAAAGGCACATTTAAGTCAGGTAGATGGAATAGAGAGTATAATCCCGATCTCTGCTTTGTTTCATTAACAACAAATAACTTACCCATGGCAGCCAGCCGAACAGCTATGAACGACTTCCCAAATCGTCAACACCGACCTATCCTAATTGAAATCGAGCTCCAAATCCCACTAATTAACTCCACTCCTTACCCCAGATGGAACTTTAACAAAACTGCATGGGAAAACTATGCAAATGAACTAGACAAATACATCCGGTTTATCCCACCTAAACGTTCGAACTACAATAGATTTTCGGGACTCATTATTGCTATTGCTAAAAAANAGATGTGGCGGACGATCTTCTAATCATCCTTGATAAATCCAGGAAGAAAAAATGGAATAAAACAATGACAGCCCTTGATTTCAGACACTCTAGTAGGGAAGCATGGAGCCTACTCAAGAAATTGGGAAGTAAACAACACACTAGACGAAAGGATACATCAATCTCACCTAACCAAGTTGCTAACCACATAGTAAATGTATCGAGAATGCCTTAGAGCAAGAGGCACACAACTCAGATAAGAAAACGCTTTACTGACCTTAAAAAATAATGCACCTAAATCCACGAACTGTCTGCCCCTTACTCAGAAGTGGAAATTACCACAGCTCTAAAGGACCTAAACCCCGGGAAGGCTGCAGGGCCAGATGGGATGCACCCAGAATTTCTGATAAACTGTGGTTCTAACACCAGAAAATGGCTATCTAAATTTTACAATGACATTCAACAATCTGGGACACTGCCTCCAGAACTTAGAAAATCTAAAATAATTACTATCGTCAAACCCAGGAAATCAAATGATCGCCCAGAAAACTACCGACCAATAGCACTACTCAGCGCGTGCTATAAACTACTGGAGAGAATAATATACAACCGAATAAGCTCAGTTATACTAAATACCATCCCGGTAGAACAAGCCGGGTTCAGGCCGGGCCGAAGCTGTTCCGATCAAGTCCTCTCATTGACGACTTATATTGAAGCAGGCTTTCGAAACCGTCTAAAATCTGCAGCGGTATTTATCGACCTAACAGCTGCTTACGACACCGTCTGGAGACACGGTCTGTTGTACAAACTTCTTCATACTATTCGCTGCCGAAACACCGTCCAGCTAATCAACACTATACTTACTAATAGATCATTTAAAGTTCATATGAATGATAAAATTAGCAACTCCAGAACATTAAATAACGGCCTAGCACAAGGCTCGGTACTAGCACCTCTATTATTTAATGTCTATATAGCAGACCTCCCAATGACTCACTCCATTAAATTCGCATACGCTGACGACCTAGCTATCGTAAACTCAACACATAGGCCTCAATGAAACTGAAAGAATACTCACAGACGATCTCAACACTCTAGGTAACTTCTTCCATGCCTGGAGATTAAAATTTAACACCAGCAAAACAGAAGCATTTTGTTTCCACCTCAATAATAAACTTGCTAGCGCTCAACTAAACATAACTTTCAATGGAAATGCTCTTAACCACAATTTCCACCCCAAATACCTCGGCATA